TGTGTGTGTGTGTGTGTGTGTGTGTGTGTGTGTGTTCGCAAGAATAGGCAAGAATATGATCCCGTTGTTTGTCTCTCTGCATGTCTCTCTCTGTCTGTGTCTCTTAATCTTGCTGTCCTTTTCTTTTTCCTCACTGTCGTCCTGGGGTCTGGGTGCAAAAGTCAAGGGTGAGACTGCAAGTGAGGATGTGGATTGGAGGCGAGGGCTTCCTCTCTAGCAGTGAGGTCCCTCTTTAGATCTCTTAGGGGTCCTCTGTGTCTCTCCTTCTCCATCTGCCCATGATGCTGGGATGCTGGGATGCTGGGATGCTGGGATGCTGGGATGCTGGGATGCTGGGATGCTGGGATGCTGGGATGCTGGGATGCTGGGCCTAGCTTCCTCTAGGAACCTAGGCATCCTGCTCTGCAGCACCCTGAGCTCTTCCTCTTTCTTCCTAATCTCTTACAGTCAGGGAGAGGAGACCCAGATTAGCCAAATAGAGTACCCTAGGAAGGACCTTTGGCAATGCCATCCATCACTGCCAGCTTGTGAAGGGAGTGGGAGGAGGGGCAGGCGGATGCTCCAGGTAGACATGGGCGAGAGAGGCACCCCAAGGGACTGGGGCCAGGATGAGGAGGAGGAAGCTGGGGTAGGAGAGGAGGCAGGCTGTAGGGAGGGATCCCTCGGCCATCCAGTTATCCAGGGCTGAGCCAGGGGTAGACAGGAAGGGAATGGGCCTCCCCTCACCAAGATGGCTGGTGCTGTCACGCCTGAGGGAGCTGAGCAGCTGGTTGCCTTGGTGACAGAGGGAGAGTGTCGCATGCTAATGAGGCTGGCAGAGAGCTGGGCAGCTGAAGGGTCTTGAGGGTAGATGTGTGACTTCCCCCAGCCGTAGTCAGGCCTAAGGGGCTGTGGGTGGTAGGGGGGCAGAGGACAAGAAAGTGACACTCCACACGGCCTTGGACTCTGGACTGAGGGCTGCAGGGGCCTGGATTCTAAGAGTGGGCTTTCCTGGTAAGGCTGTTGCTGACAGGCAAAGTGAGCGGAGGGCTCAGGGCCTGGGGCCTGAGCTTTAGAAGGTGCTGGAATTTCGTGAGGGAAGAGTGAGTGGCAGGGTAGGGCTGTTTGGAGCAAGGACTAAAAAAGCAGCCTGAATGCTTGAGCCCCGACCAGTGCTTTGAATAAACCCTGTGTCCTCCCGAGAACGGTTTGGTCCTGGTGCTGCTCCGGCTGCTGTGGCCTCCTGCCTCAAGCTAGCCTTAGACCTAGAGGTGAAAAAATTAATAAATAAATGAGACCCTGAGATGGACAGGGAGGTACCGGGAGCCATTTGGCTATGAGCTCCTCAGGAGTCTCCCCACTGCTTCCCGGGCACTGGGTATCTTGGCTCTCGCTCTGCCCCAGAGATGCTTACGGCTCTTTAGCCTCCATGAATCCATAATGGCTCCAGTTTCCATCCCAAGGGCCCGCATCTCAGGCCACAGGAGCTGGGATGGTTTTCTTGACAGCAGAGCTGTCCCTCCAGACAGCAGGAAGGTAGGGCTTGTGGTCAGGTGGGGAGCTGGGGTTTGGTAGGGCTAGTTGGTCATCTCAGGGGGTCCTGGGGGATCAGTTCTGTGGCTGGCCTGGTGGTGTCGGCTTCTCTGGGGTCTTGGGGTCCTGGTCTGGTTCAGGCTGCACTGACCCAGGCTCAGGAGGGTCACCTCGGATCAGGGTTGCCAGGGCTTGCCCACTGGGCTAAATTGTCCTCAGTCTGTTTCTGGATCAGTTCAGCAAGGGCCTGGCCAGGGACAGGGGACCTGTACAGTCCTTTAGGCATGAGGTGTTTGGGTTTCAGAGGGCTTGGCGTCCTGCCCAGGGGTCGTGGCTGTCCTTTTTGGACCTTGCTGTCCAAAGGCCCACGATTCCGCAATTCCCAGATTGTGAAAGAATCACGCCACCATCTTTCGCTCCAGAGTTTCCATAGACTCAATTTCCTCTTCCCGCTTCCCTGGTTCCCCAGAGCCCTGGTTTTCTCTCGGAGCCTGCTACCTCTACATGAGGCTGGAATGGGCAGCTGGAAGGCTTAGGATTGGAGAGGGTACCTTTTTAAGTCCCCGTGTGGAGGTTTCCCTTAAGGCCCATCCATATTCCTTACACTTGGCACTTTCCCCCAAGGTCACGGGGACCCAGAGGCTGTGTGGGGTGGTGGTTGGAGACCCCCCTTGCCCACTCAATCCCCTCTAACAGGACACGCTCTTTTTCTCCAGGTGGCTTTGATTTTTGTGTTGTGTTTTATTTTCTCCTCCATCCGAATTGTTTTTTTCTCGTTGACCGTTTTTTTTTTTTTTTCTGTCCACCTCCTGGAAGAAAAAAAAAAAAGAAAAAAGAAAAAAAGAAAAAGGAAAAAGCAGCCTTTCCAGAGCCACGCTTCCTCTCCTTTTCCTTTTTTTTTTTTTTTCCGGCAAGAAGAAAAAAAAAAGAAACCAAAAAATTCTCTCCTTCCCTGTAGCAACTCCCTGCCCTGTCTCCTCTGGCTCACACCTCTCGCCCACCCCTCTGACACCCTGATCTCTCTCCCCTCCCCTCCCCTCTGCTTCTGCATCGGGCCCCTTCCCTCAGCTGCTGGGCTGGGGGCTCTCCCCCGATGTCTGTCACAAGTTAAAAAGGGTTTTTAAATTGTGGCAGCAACAACTTTCCTCCCCCTCTCTCTGGCTGATTTTGATGACTCGTGTTTTCTTTGTTTCTTTCCTCTTTTCTTTCTTCCTTTTCTTCTTTTCTTTCTCTCTCTTTCCTTCCCCTTTCCAAGGTCCGGCTCACCTGACGTTAAACAGCGAAGGTATGGTTTGAAGTTTTGGTTTGGTTTGGACTGGATTGCCCCAAACTGTGCCTGGCTTTTCTGTTCTCTTCCCTCCCTCCTTCTCCCTCACCCTTCCTGCCTCCCTCCTTCCCTCCCTTCCCTCTTCCTCTGCCATTTCTTTATTTGTATGGGGGTGCCTGGCGGGGGTGGGGCCGGTCCCTCTCCTTCCCTCTTCCCCTCCCCTGGGTCCACTGTCTACCCTCATCTCACCTTGGTTTCTGATGTCGAGATGTAACTCTCCTGCCGTTGTCTCCAGTCTCTTTTTATTTTTCCTTTCCATTTTCCTGGTGGTATATCTTGCTTTTTTCTTTCTCATGGTGGTATTTGATTTATTTCCACTCATCCTGATCACTCCTTTCTTTTCTATGAATGCGAGTAAAAAAGAAAAAGGCTTGGGTTGCAGAAACGATTTGAGGCAGACACAGCCCCGTTCCCCTGCTGCTGTGGAAGACACTCCATTCAATCCCTGTCCCTAAAATGAAAGCAGAAGATGTGGGGGCTGGAGGTGCAGGATCCTCCCTTTCCACGACGCCCCACCCTCTGCCTTTACCTCCATTACCTTTTGAATATCTCTTATTTCTATCAGATGACAATATATCAGAGACAGGTGACTGTGTCGTGATCACACAGCCCTACTAGGTGGCGTGGCTGGGGCTAAGTCCCTCCCACTAGTCCAAACCCCAGTGTTTTATAGCTCTGCAGCATTGTGTTGTTGTCCTATCATACACAAGGCCCTGGGATCCAGTCTCAGCACTGCAGGGGGTAGAGGAACCCTGGCATTAAGCAACCTGGAAGAGAACCTAGGAGTTCTGACTGATCCCCTCCAGCTCTGACCTCCCTGCCATCCCCGTTATCCACCTCTGTGAGCACCTTGAGCACTGCTGTACCTATACATACAAGAGACAGGGCTGAGTGTTTAACTGTGAGCAAAGAGATGGTGGGACCACATCTGGGATGCAAGAGAGTCTCACTGAGATATGAAATTTAGGATGGGTTTAGGTCTGAGAAATGAAGGCATGGGAAGTTAAAGCCGAAGTAAGAAGGAGGAAGTCCCACACCGGGAATTAGGAGGAGGGTCCTGGCTGAATCACATCCTTCTTACCTCTAAATTCTTGGTTTGGGGAGTGTTGGCTGTGATTCACCTTAGACACTGATGATGTTTTCTTGAAGGGTCCTGGAGATGCTTCCCCTCATCTAGAAGATTCTGCAACTCAGATGTTTAACCTAGTCTTAGTTCTGGGGACTGGAGTTGGAGGAAAAGCCCAGAAAGGAACCTTCTCTTCTATCCCTGAATCCTCCTCTGGATCTAGCAATAGGGTTGGTTGCCTGGGAGCCAGGCACCAGAGAGCACCTGTTCATAGGCAAAGCCTGGGTGAAGCTCCAGCCAGTCTGGAGCCCAGACATGGCAACCTGTGCCTGTGGGGCAGAACTGGGCCCTGTGTGGTGATGAACAGGAGAATGAAGCTGAGAACTGATTTCTGAGTAGGAGTTCCCTACATGCCTGGTGAGCCCTACCTAGCCAGGACCTCCTTGGATGAGCACAGCCCTCTGTGAGCGTGATGGAGGGGCAAACCTGGGAGCCCCATAGTCTCAGTGGAGACTGTCAGAGCGCCTACTGTGGGGACTTAAGCAGGGATAGGTGGCCCATAAGAGGACAGGTACAGAAGAGGAGGGATTTTGGAACACAAGTGTCCATGTCAGGCAAAAGCAGGCTGATAAGAATATTCTCTAACCTGGCAGAAGCTGTGAACAGAGGTACCCAGTGAGGGAGAAGCATCAGTCCCAGGGATGTGGCAGTGACCCCACAGGATGAAGGGGAAGTTTGGGGACAGGTGTTCAGGGCCTAGGTTGTCAGGACTGCCCTTCTCCCCGACTTAGTCTCCTCATTCTGGACAAAGGCTGGAGATCAGTGGTCAGAAGTCTGATAGGGTGTGTGGGGCTGGTGGCCTTTGGATTGTCACATGGCCCCTCAAGAGATCTTGAAGGCCAGGGAGTCCCCAGAGAAACTCTCCTCACCTGCCTACCAGCAGCACCTTTGTCCTGGATAGAGCCTTCCGTCACCTCAAGACTGGGATGGGACTGGCTGCCGAGTCCCTGTGCCTGACTCCCCAATTCTGCTTCTCCAGTAGGGTCCTTACTGTTCTCCGAGGGGGGGGCCGGGAGAGGAGGAGCCGGCGATGTGCACCAGCCGACAAAAGGTCAGTGATCCCGTGGTCTCCAGACAGCCCAGCCCTTGCCCTGCTGTAGGCTAACTGCATTCTGGGAGGAGAGGAATCTTCACAGGTGTATGGCATCTCCCTGTGCCTTGCCTCCAGGCTGGTGGCAGGCCTGCACCCCACCGCCATTCCCCGGGCACCTTTCCGTGCCCCACTGTGAAGGACCACAACCTCCATCTCTTTCCCCAAAGTTCAGCCACCCCGATGACGTACCAGAGCACAGATGCCCTTTCCCGTGAGTGGTCAGGCCCCTCCCTAGAAAGTGTTGCTGTGTCGGAGTGAGAGGTGGCAGGGTACCATCACATTCTAGAAGCCTGCTAGGCATCTTGCCTGGGGGAAACTGGTAACGTCTGTGATCTGTGTGTGTCACCTATATTGTCCCAGTAAAGCATGGTGACATTTAGTGGCAGGCATTATTGCTTTCGTTTCATAGCTGGGGAAACAGACACCGGTCAAAGCCCCAGATGCCAGCACAGGGCAGACCCCTTCATGTCTTAGGAAACTGGGAGTCCAGCTCACTGGTTTTGGCCAGAGGCTACTTCTCTCAGGACTCTTTTTGTTGAGAAATGTCCAGGCCTGCTGGTGCCCTCTTGTCTGCCTGGGCTTGTACGGTCCCAGCCCCCGCTCCGGCTCCCTGCTGTCTACAGCCAGGCTGTCCTTGCTGGCCATCTCCCTGAGCTCCCGGGCCAACCTGGACACTTCCGGGAGACCCTTTTGTTCACGCCTCCTTCGAGTCAGTCAGACCACACCCTGTCACCCCATCTGTTTGCTGCCCCTCATGGTTCTGAACTCGAGGACAGGGTTTTCATTCTCTTTCCATGCTCTGCACAGCTCTTGGCATATATGTAGGCATGAGCTTAGCACATTTATTTAATTAAATTAAATTAACTTTATTAGGCTCTCACTATGTAGTTTTGGCTGACCTGGAGCTCACTATGTAGACCAGGTTGGTCTTGAACTGACAGAAGCACATCAGCCTCTGCCTCCTGAGTGTTGGGATTAAAGGTGTGCAACACCACACCTGTCTCACAATTATTTGAAATGAGTGAATGGTCACTGTTCCTAGGAGTCTCACTGACGGCCTAACAAATAACTACAATAAACCATGGTCCACGTGAGTGAATGGAAACTGCAGACTTTGTTCAGAGGAGTTAATTTACTTATTCATTCACGGAGGAGAGCATGTGCACCTCCACAACGTTATATCCGGGGACAGAGTCACTTTGGGCTGCATTATGTCCTGTCCTGCCCTTCATCATTCCTGCAGCAACCTGGGAGGTAGGGCTGGCAGGTGGTTCCTTTGTTTCTCCTCCAGAGGAGAAAGCTGGGCTTAGAGCTGCTGTGACTTGGCCAAGGTCACAGAACTGGCTGGCAGGGCCGGCACCAGCGCACAGGTCCTCTTTCTCACGCCACATTTCCTCCCCAAGGAGCCGGACAAGATGTTACTAGGCAGTAAGTGCCAAGTGAACAGAACACACAGAACACACAGAGCCAGGCGGGCCAGAGGGGCTGGAGATCTTCCCAGAGGAGGCCTTTGAAACGCAGTCAGTTCTGGCCACAGCCAGCTTTGTTGGGAACACTCTTGAGGCCACAGACTCCCTGATGGAGAAGCAAACAAGTACCAGCAAGGACTCCCTTCTTACACTCTTAAGGGTTGTCGTTTCTCACGTGCTGATGGGAGTTGTAGTTCCTGGCCATGGCCTGCATGGGTGATGGAGCAAAGCGCCCCCTGGCGCTTCAGGATCTGAGCATCCCAGATCCAGCTAGTGCTCTGAGGCGCTCCCGGGTCACAACTATACATTCCCATCCCTGAGGCACCACCCCCGTCAGGGGCCCTTGAGGGCCCCCCTCACCCCACCCCCACCCCCGCTCCGTCATGGTTCTCTCTGTGTCTCTCACTCTCACGCTCTCTCCTTCGGTTTTCTTGCTACGATTGCCCACCCGCCTTCCACCCCTCTCCTTAAAAGCACTCAGACTCCCTTGGACAGCTCAGTGTCTTTCCATTTCTGGGCCGAGAGGACTGGGGTCCAGCCAGCTCAGGCTGGCAGCGTAGATGGCTTTGCCTCCTCCCCTGGGTCCACCTGAGGAGTCCAGGAACGGCCTCATTTCTGCTCTTCGCCTTGGCAGCCACGGTCCGGCCTCAGCCCCGCCTCTCCGCTTTTTTCCTGACTTCTTTTGTTTGGTCCCAATCACTTTTTCAGGTGGCTGCCTTATATTCCCTTCCTTCTGTCTGGATCTCTGCAATGTGATTTGCTTTGACCGCAGTGAAGGTGAAGGAGTGGAAGGGGAGGTCTGGCTTCTGGGTGGGGCTAACAGGATGGGTGGTAAAACCAAGGTCAAATGCATTCCCCTTTCTGGTCCTTGAGCCCCCTGGCTCTGTCAGTGTCTGAGCAGCAGGCCTGGTTGCTATGGAAACACTAAAGCCCCAGAAAGCCGTGGCTTTAGTTCCCCAGAGGTCCCTGTCCCCTTTCCACGCTGGCTGGCCCTTCTCCTTACCTGTCCCCTCAGGGTTCCCTCCTGTTCTTTATCGATAAGGTTCCATGTGGCCTCTCTCTCTTTCCCTCACAGTCCTGTCTCCACTTCTCTTCCGACCCACGGATGGTCCATCTTTGTCCCCTTCCAGGCTGGGCTCCCCACGCCACCGTTAAACACATCCTTGTCTCTGCTGGCTGCCTCACCTTTGTTTCTGGTCCCCTAAATAGACAGAGGGAGGGATTCAGATTGTCCCTATGTGGCCCATGCCCAGCCCCCCTCAGCTCGCTGCCCTGTGCCCTCAGGACACAAGACCTTGCCAGCTGCAGTGAGGGCTATGCCAGGCACTGGGGCAGCAGCTGGTGCCTTGGCATCCGGATGCAGTGGGGGCAGAGTGTGGGCAGCCTGCCTGGAGGGAGAGAGGCAGGCTGTGTGTGCCAGAGAGGAGTCCTGCAGAATCCACAATGAGAGACCCTCACATTCATCTATGGACCTGCTGCTCAGCCCCGCCCCCGGGGAGGAGGACGGGAACCTTGTCATGTCCTCCGTGCCCATCACACGGTGCCTACGCTCCCCTGGACCTTGAGAACACCCCAGGAGAAGCTCAGATCGCTCAGCCTCTGCCTAAAGCCCCTCATGACACAGTCCTGTTAGCCTCTTCTCAGCCGGGGAGGCTGCAGGATCAGTATTTGCTGACAGAGAGACAGAAGTCACTGCCTGGATGCAGACCTTCTCCTCTCTCCTGATTTGGAATCTGGTCCTCTGCCCCGTGCTTGTGCTCTGGTGTGAGAAGTTGAGGGGCTGGACCCCGACTCTCTGGTTCCAGTCATGGTCTTTTTACTTGTCATCCATGTGTAGACCACCAGCAGTCCCCATGGCCCTTCCAAGGAGTTATGGCTTCCCACCTAAAGAGTGCCAGTGGAAAGGACCTTGGGCTGGGTTCTGTGTCCATGTACACACACACACACACACACACACACACACACACACACACACACACACCAGCTAGGTGTTATACACACAAACAAAGTCTAGGTGTTGTGTCTATAAGTAAAGATACATAAACACACTCACACATGTGCACACAGGTCATGCACATTCATGAGCATACACACGTGAGAGCCAGGCCCTCCCATGCCACTCACTTGGCATCTGTGGGTCACACACCTGGCACTGTGAGGCTTCTTAGGTTGGAGGAAGAAGTTGGGAGAGGGTGAGCTGGCATGGTGAGCACCCATGTGAAGGCAGCGAATGGCCGGTACCCTGGTGTATATCCCTGTCACTCGCGACGCCTTCCCATGTGTCATATCCCTGTTCCTCTCCACTCCACGGCTTCCCAGTCTCCTCATCTGCTAGACAGCAGACCCACGGTCTCATCACTAATGGAGAGGCCTGAAATTGCCCCTGTCCCTGGGTACTGAGAGTAGCTGCTACCAAAGAAGAGGCAAGAGGAGAGGCAGGCTGCTCAGGAGGCGCTCCCAGGGAGAGGGCAGGCAGTCTCTTGCTTCTCCCCGACGTGCCTTTGTTCCGGGGTGGCAGGGGTTGAGAGCATTGGTAGGGAGGAGATGGAGAAGCCTGCAGCTTTGTCTGGCCCTGTGGCAGCTTAATTGTCAGCTGTCAGTGTGAGAGCCACTTAGCAGCCCCTGCTTTGGGAATGGACCTGGGGGCAGTTGACTTTTGATAGCAAAGACAGCAGGGTCCAGGTCGACAGGATGTAGGAGGGGAAGAGCGCCTAAGTTTAGAGTTGGGACCACAGGACTCCGGCGTCCAGGACCCATGCTTGGGCTGCTGGAGGTGAAGGGGGAGGCTCTGGCGTACCCCATACACTCAGCCTTCTCCCGTTTTCCCAAACCATGGCGTCCAGGCAAGGAGGAATTTGTGGCAACCTTCAAGGGCAATGAGTTCTTCTGCTACGACCTGTCACACAACCCGATCCAGAGCAGCACTGATGAGATCACACTGGCCTTCCGCACCCTGCAGCGCAACGGGCTGATGCTGCACACGGGCAAGTCGGCCGACTACGTCAACCTGTCCCTCAAGTCTGGGGCTGTCTGGCTGGTCATCAACCTAGGCTCGGGCGCCTTCGAGGCCCTCGTGGAACCCGTCAACGGCAAGTTCAACGACAACGCCTGGCACGACGTCCGGGTTACCCGAAACCTGCGCCAGGTAGGGGGAGCAGGAAGAAGGCCCGGGGTCGGCCATGTCGGGGGCGGAACATGCAGAGAGGACACAGCGATGCCTTGGCTTTGGGGTGGGAGAGAACAGAGCTGGGCAGTGAGGTGGGGTTTTAGAGAAGAACAGAGTCGGGGGGCTGTGCGAACCTGAGGCGTGGCCTCGGCTGTGTGACGGGCTTCTGAGACCTCATCCGCCAGGGAGTTGAGCTAGGGGGAGGTATCAGAGCTGTTCCTGGGCAGAAGCCTGAGGCCAGGAGTAGTGCTGGGCTCAGATTGGTAGGAGCAGCTAGGGTGCCGAGGCCTGGTGCTGTAGACTTGGGAGGAGGGAGTTAGAGCCTGGATGAGGGTCTATCTAGTGGGTGGTGGGGTGGGGAGGGGGCCTGTAGGGTGGGCAGCAGGACACTGAGGAAAGCAGAGATACAAGTGGGACAGAATATGGTCTTCCCTCCATGGGGCTTTCCCAGGGCAGGGATGCACTGGGGGAAGGGAGGCAGCGGTGGGTGAGAGAGTGGACCCGGGGAGGGCGGCTGGCCCTGCTTCTCTGGGAGTATTTGATTTTCTTCCTGTCCGACAAAGCCAGGCTTCCCTTCATGTCCATGTTCACCTTCTGCTGGCTAAGCCAGTCTGCAGAGGGGGCTCAAGTAGGTTTTTTGGGGTCAGGCCCTGCATGTAGGATGGCACCCTTCTTTGCAATGTCCCCTGTACCTTCAGACCCTACATAAGGCCTTTTAGGTGTGGTTCCCTTCACCGCTCTCAGGATCCAGCCATGGCGGCGGCTGCAGACTAGGCATCTCTCTGGCCAGGCTTTGCTGGACAGGAGCCTTGCGGATAGTTTCCAGCCCTAGGAAGTCCCCATGTCCACTCACACCGACTTTTCTTCACTGGTAGGTGAGGCCCCTGTGCATTCCCTGGGGGCTCCTGTCTCTGCTTCTCTACAGTGGCTTCCCTGTTCCTTACTTGGGGGTCCCCCAGTTCTTCATTCTCTTGGGTCCCCGGTATTGCAGCTAGCGCGCAGCAAGCTGTTGCAGCTTCATCTTCCACGGCCGAATGCAACGGAGAACACCGAGCAGTCCTGACTGTGGAGGCTGCGTCCCAGGCCTCACGGCTGCTCTCTTGCCATGAAGTCTTTGGACTTCTTGTTTCTAGTCAGGTTAATCTTCTGTTCTCATTCGTCTCCTCTTCTCCTGTTTCCACTGGAAGCCCCTCAGTGGGGCTCAAGGTCCTGGCTGGCCTTCCATCCCTCTGACCTGCTCTCATTTCACACCACTGGGGGACGGTTTAATGGAGGTTCCCCTCTCTTCACACCTCTCCCCTTGCTGAGACAATGTCCTGACTAACTGCACGGCTCTTTCCGGAAGCCTGCAGCGGCCTGTTGCGGTCCTGCGTGGACGTGCCCATTCTGAGTGCTCCTTCTCCCCGTGCTCTGTAGAGTGGCGTGTTTGTGGGGCCACTTCCCCTCCAGGCAGCACCCCCACCCTGTGTCCTGTCACACCATTCCCAGTCAGAGCACGGCCTTGCCTCTTATCCCCACCAGCGCGATCAGGTGTCACACACACCTGGGATGCTGTCGTCAGGTGTCACACACACACACCTGGGATGCTGTCAGGTGTCACACACACCTGGGATGCTGTCGTCAGGTGTCACACACACCTGGGATGCTGTCGGGTGTCACACACACCTGGGATGCTGTCGGGTGTCACACAC